CCAGAAGCCAAATACACTCAAGCATTTTAATGACACAAGCCAATAGCTTTCCTTTTTGCTTAAGTAGTTTTGAACTGGATATTCTACCACTTGCAAAAGAAAGAGTCCTATCTGACACCTCTTCTCTCTATATGCTCCCTCTCTGTGCCCACTTAAACACCGGTGACTCCAAAATCTTCATGTACAGCCTAGAAACTCCTTGGAGCTCCAGATTCATATCCACCCACCTTGTAGATGTTGTCTCCCATATGTCACACTCAGGCACCTCAGATATAACGTGCACAAAATGGAATTCACATCTCTGCTGCTGCCATCCCACTGTGCTATTCTTCACGTTTTTCTCTACCCTAGATAAAACATCACCACCCACCCAATCTCTCAGGAGAGAAACCTAGGACATCCTAGGCCACTCCTTAAGGGAATCCTGATGGGGCATAGGCCCTGATTGACACTTTCTGACTGTGTCACCATGGGTAGATTAATGAACATGTCTGAGCCGTGGATTTCCATACTGACTGTAGCACTGAATGAGAGAATGTGTGTAAAGCAATAAATCCTGGTTCCATTTCCTATCACAGACATCCAGTGCATCACTCGTTCTAAGGGAAAACCTCATCCTCACTGCCATTAACCCAGCTCAGGGCCTCATCATTTTTCCCCTGGACCACTAACAGGCATTTCTCTCTTCTTCCTATCTTCAATCTTGTCGCCCAGCACCAATCTCCCCTCCCAACTGTTGCCAGACTGATTATCCCCTACACAAGCCAGACCATTTCAGGCTATTCTCTGCCACCTGCAGGATTTATTCATTTGCAGATACCCTCCACCTTGACCTTCCCAAATTGCTCACGGTTCTCCAAACACTCACTGTTGTTCTCAGCTCCATGGCTCTGCACACTGTTCTCATTGCCCAGAATGCCGTCTCTCCCTCCTCACCCACCTGGAGAACAGCTCATCCTTAAGACTTGGTTAAAAAAAGAAAAAAGAAGTTACTAGAAAATCAAAGAAAATATAGATTGGCTAAAGTGACAAGGAGAGAAATTGAATACAGGAAAAAAAGAAATTTGAAATATTTTTAAATGAAGAAAAGCAAAGAAAGAATGGAGAGAAAAGAGAAAATTTAGAAAATTTTACTCTTGAAATAGGGACTTCCGGCCGGGCGCGGTGGCTCAAGCCTGTAATCCCAGCACTTTGGGAGGCCGAGGCGGGTGGATCACGAGGTCAAGAGATC